CTAAGCTAATTGGTTAGGCTTCCTCTTCAGTTACAGAGCAGAGAGGATATTTGGTGTGGCCTTCCTTGAATATTGTGTAGTTCTGGTCTCCATAAAATAAAAGGGATATTAGGATATTTCATCACACTACATCCTGTATGTCCAAACATACCTATTTCTATATATTGATTGCTCACAAAACACTTTCACTTAATTTTGTTATTCATTTGCCTATCTATGTAAACTGTTATTCTGGGCTCCAATGACAGTTTGCTCTCCATTTCTCTGAAGTTTCTGACTATTTTAGGAACTTCCCTTCTACCCAGTATTTACAAAATATATAATATTAATACTTGTTTAATGACTTTATTATTTTCTTTTAAACATGTGTTATATATTAAACAGCTTATATAGAGATTTAAATTATAATCTAATACTTTTAGCTGTCTTTCAAATATTTTCCTGTAATTTGTTTGAAGTTGCATCAGTGTTCAAATTTGTATATATAATTAAACATGTAAGTGTGTTTTTAGATATTTATGTGGAAATATATTTACATACTATGTATCATTTATATATTATTATGTATGTCATGTACAAATGATCACAAGATACTACTCTCACGGATATGGATCATGTGAGTAAATGAGAAAATGACTCTGGAAGCAAGGAGCAATTTTGTACTTTACTGTTTCTGACAGTGAACAATTTGTATTTTGGGGATTTTGAAAATTATTCTCATATTTATATATTAAAGTTGTGTGTTGTGAAGGAGACTGTACATGTTGCTGCAGAGCCGAGCAGGGGAAGTTAGATCCAGTGTTTTTTTGTGTGTGTTCTATGGAAACTATTTTGTAAAGTTACCTTTGGGTGCTGATATCTAACTGGTTAAACTACAAATATGCCATTTACTAAAGGCCCACCAACTTGCTATGCTACTTCGAAGTCAAATTTTCGAGTCTGAGAACCGCTTTTGCCAGATATTGTTTGATTATTTTTATCCAAAGTTCATGTGTTTTGGACTCAGTGATCCTTATGGGTCCCTTTCAACTCAAGATATTCTACAATTCTGTGATTTTTTTTGAGAAGTTCTCTAGCACTGATTCTGTTTCAGGCCTAGATTAGAAGAAGAAAGGGCTTTGATTCCTCCCCACCTTCTCTTTCTACAGCTTACATACTGTGATGTAAGCAATTCTTACTAGAAGAGCTTTTAAGGAGCTTCAGTATAATTAAAAGATACTTCTGAATTTTGGAATACATTTTACTAAAAATAAATGTAAATAAAATTCCTTTTCTTGTTGTTCTGGTCTGGGTATATACTGACCATAATTTGCAGACAATCTGGCAAAACCCACATAGTAGTATTCTCTACCAGGATTTAGCCTGTGTATTTTGCATTAAAAAAAGAAGATAAAGACTGTTAAGTAAACTGGATGTTGTTGCCCTTGGTTTTCTGTTTCAGTATAGCAAAGGTGAAATAAAAAAATGGCCTACCGCAAATTTCTCTGTATTAGTTCATCAGATACTTAATAGAAATAGCAATCAGATACTTAATAGAAATAGCAGCAGTTGATGCATAGAATGCTTTATGTACAGCATCATTAGCAATTCTGTAAATTCACTCTTGCACAAGAGTTTAAACACTTTTCCCGGTTTCCCTGAGGCGGAACATATTCTAACTGTAGATTCTTACACTTTAAGGCATATTGATAACACACTTAAATACATGGGCTGTATAAATCTGAAAATAACTGTTCATTGGTATAGTGAATACAAATTCTTTATCTAAGGAAAGATCTATATTACAATGAAAAATATCAGAACTCCTAACCATGGTATTTGTGAATAGTAACATAGTATAAAACTACTGGGAATATGCTCATGCTTAACAAATAATCCATTCTCGAAGGCTTAGTGAAGCTAAAATGACTTAGTTATCTGGTGTGATTTTTGTCTCAAATCTTGTATTGCACTTTTTGTTGTCTGTCTTGTTCTGTGGTATAAAGCTGTTTTAGTATGTAAAGTTTATCCCTTTTATGAGAGCATGATTTATGCTGTGATAATCATTCCCAAGATTAAATGTACTACTCCTAACAGTGTAAGAAATCCTGCAATTGTTCTATTTTATTATAGTGTAACATAATTTAGCAAATAAATGTGCAGTCCTTTCAGCTGACTTCTGAAATATTTTCATACTGAAATGGTAACCAGCTTAAGTGTTAGAAACACTTTTGTCTCATACAACATATGACTGGCAACCCCAATAAAGTTATGCAGAAAATGTTAAGAAAAGTATGGTTTGGTTTGCAATAGCTCTTTCTAAAACCCCGAGAACAAGTATTAGTAAACCAGTACTTCTTTTTATTTTACCATTAAGCCTGTCCAGTACGCAGAGGATGACTTTGGATAAAACTGACAGTTGTCACTGTCCCTTTGCAATTAGCAAATGCAAATGAAGCATTATTTTCAGCCATGCTGAGAGGCACTGCATCCCCAGAAGTGTTAAAGGGTCTTGGATTCAGGGCAAGGTTTTGCCCTTGTTTGTTGTGAGGCTAGTTGTCAACTGGTGCTTTTTGGCCTCAAATTCTTTCCTCCTGACAAAAACTGGAGGTCTGCTTTTACAAGGAGCAGATGGCTGATGGAAACCTTGCAGCTCCTGGCAAACTCTGAAGCTTTTCAGTAGGTATTAAAACTCCTTTGTTACAGTTAAATGATAATGAAATGTCCAACCATAATTACATTTTTAATGGAATTAGACAAACATTTGAACTTGCTGTATTTATATGTATATATATATGTCTATTTCATGCCTGTGCCTTACTACATTAGTGTGATAAAGCCTTTAAACTATTTGGCATTTCTTTTCTGTTGTCACTGTGGTAGATAGCCTGATATCATTTTACTGAAATAAGAACTGCGAAAATACAAGGACTGACCATATGATAAATTTCATTCTTGCTTATCCTGGATGATTTCCAGGCAGCAGATTTTTGTCAAACTGTGGTATTTTAATGATGAAAAACTAATGCTTTCAGAATAAATCAGTTATTTGCATGAAATCCTCAGTTCTTGAAAGAATCTGCCTGAGTCTAAGTGAATGATGTGCTGAACTGTTAGAGAGGATAAGGCTTAGTTTTTCCTTTAATTTCAGAAGTTCTTGGTGTCAGGTTATGTATATGAAATCCAGTGTGCTTGTCGACTGCCTCAGCTTCTGCATGTATCAGAGTAACTGCAGATGCAGAAGAGTGCATTAATATAGAAGTTCATTGGAAGTGCTCCTTTACTGGAATTCTCCAAGGTGAACAGCAAGTATGCCAGTGATAGGAAGCTGGGAGGAGTGGCTGACACACCTGAAGAATGTGTTGCCTTTCAGCTAGACCTGGACAGACTGGAGAGCTGGGAAGCAATAAACCAGATGAGATTTAACAAAAGCAAGTACAGAGTGTTGCACATGGGAAGGAATAACTGCAAGTATCAGTACAGGTTGGGACATGACCTGTTGGAGAGGAGCTCTGTGGAGAAGGACCTAGAGGTCCTGGTGGACAGGAGGCTGGCCATGAGCCAGCACTGTGCCCTAGTGGCCAAGAAGGCCAATGGGATCCCTGGGGTGCATGAAAAGCATGACCAGCAGGTCAAGGGAGGTGACACTCCCCCTCTATTCTGCCTTAGTCAGGCCTCACCTGGAGTACTGTATCCAGTTCTGGGCTCCGTGATACGAAAAAGACAGGGATCTCCTGGAGAGTGTCCAGCAGAGGGCCACAAAAGATAAAGGCCTGGAGCAGCTCCCCTACGAGGAAAGGCTGAGCAAACTGGGTCTGTGCAGCCTTGAGAAAAGAAGACTAAGAGGGGATCTTATTAATGTTTATAAAAATCTTACGTGTGGGAGCCAAAGGGTCATGGCCAACCTATAGATAGAAGCATTAACATTTCTGCACAAAATCCACTGGGACCAAGTTTAAGCTCTGACAGATGGTCAAACAGTTTCATTATTTGTTCACACTTTACTGTCTAAAGGCTGAGAATGGTATATTTTGTTAAGTGTGTAGGGAAGTGACGGAGATAAAGGTTGCATTTCAGGAAGAGTATTTGACTGGAGAATTGGAATGACAAGGAGGGAAAAGGAATTATAAGGACCCTGCAAGAGTGTGTGTTGGGAGGGAAGAGTGCAGGGCAAAGGCAGGCTTGGGAAGAAAAAGGTTTCTATTGGTGATCCAGATAATGAGAAAGGTTGTTTCAGTCCAGGGAGCTGCTGAAGACTGATGATCTTCAAAGAGAGACTTGATGAAAGGAACAGCTGCTTTCCTCAGTTTTACCTGTAGAGAAGTCTAGTATAGCCTTGCTAGTCTTCAGTGTAGGTTTTATGAAGGATTGATACAGTCTGAGAAGCTGGGACAATAGTAAGTAAAGGGCAGTTGTAGGTTTAGGTGACTGTACCTGTATCCTTGCTCTTCTTTTAATAACTTGATTTTGACACTGTTCTCTTTATAGATTGAGATGCTATTTGGAGGGTATTCATTTAAAAAAGAGACACTGTGTTAACTATCATAATTGTCTCTTTTTCTCATACATGTAATTGTATATGGTTTATTATCCTACCTATATTTATATACAGTGATACTATTCATAGTTATAAGTATTAGTGCTAGTGATGTTTGTACTTTTTTCTTTCCCCTGAGGCCAGTTCTTTCTCACTTTTATTGAACAATACCTTATTGTGTGACTGTTCCCATTGATTTTACCTAAATTACTTAGGGATTGTATACTCATGGGCCAAAGTTGTTTCAATTTTTTTCAGAATAATTATTTTGTATTTATTGATAAAAGGACTCTCTTTCACCATTGATTGCTAGGTGGTAGTATTGGAAGTATGATGTACATCTAACTAACTCACAACTCTGATGCTGTTTAGAATTCTTATCCAAGGAAAATCAAAGGTTAGTGAAGATGGAAAAATGAATCCTGTTCTTCCTGGGAATTTACTGGGGTTATTTTAATTGTTAATATTTCTTTTCTTTTCCTAGGCAATGTTCAGTCTCTGCATGGTTGAAAGTGAAGCTGATGAGGTGAATTTGCATGGCGTCACAAGCCTAGGTTTAAAACAAGCCCTGGACTTTGCATATACTGGACAGGTACTGTACAGCTCTTTAGATTGAGAGAAATCGAAGCAATTTGCAATAAAAACAGAAGACTGCCCATAGAGAAGTACTGTTCTTGTGCATTGCCCAGTGCAAGGTTTTTTGACTTAACAGATCTTACTTTGGATATATTGTTTATGTGAGCAGTATATTTGTTGTTGTTCTTCCCCACCCCCCACTCATAGAGGAGTTTTCCAATAAAAACATGTTTATTGTATTGTATCCATTGCATTGTATCCAAGCAGTAAACCTATTTTGGCTTATATGCCCTTTTTATGGTGGTCTGATTGTTCATAAAAATTGAATGTGAGTTGACTCATGTGCTAAATGAGAGAGAAAAAATACAGTAGGCATTTTTCTAATAATAAATATTTATGAACCTTTGCTGTGCTTGACTAATTATATAGTTGAGGGGAAATGCAGTCTTTTACTTTCTGGGAAGATGTAATCCAGTTATCTTTCTAAATGCGTATAGTACTGTGCACCTTTCTTTGTTGCAATTTTTATGAGAGTAGATTGTATATCATATTATGTTAGTAGTGTATAAGAGTAAATGAAACTTTGGAGAACTGGAGAATGTGAAGTGATGCTCCTATTTCTATTCCTACTTGACTCCTCTTCCACCCACCAAAAATAACCCCCAAAAGAAAACAAACATTTAAACAAACCAAACAACAACAGCAAAAACCCACAATAAAAGCACCCAATACATTTATATGTCCTGCCATGTCTATTCTTTGCATTCCTGGTCAGTGTTTCTCTACAATTTCATCTCAGTTCAGTTCAGTGAACTAAGAGCTTCTTATACCATTGGGGATATTTTTGCTTTGTACTTAAACATTCTAGAAAACTGAAGTATTTCTGGAATAATTGCAAAAACAATTTAATTTATGAATTAATTTTGAAAAGAAGCTTAAATCCATTTCTGTGTTGTACTGTGGTGTGAGTATGTAGTCATGAATTTTTCAAGGCAAATTAAATAGAGGTAAGGAATTTATAGTTTATTACCAGAATACAGGTAATAGTTTGCCATTAGCCTTAGAGACTAACTCTTAAAATTTCTGTGTTTCCTGTTATGGAAAACAAAACTTTGAATAAGTTTTTTCTTTGTATTTAAAAAAAAAAAAATTAAAATAGAGAGAGATACCATGCTATGTTACTGAATTGGCTGAAGTTACCAGTGTACGGCTTGTTATATGTACAGTTTTTGTTATTTCAGTTGAAAGCTGCGACAGATAAGATTGTGTCCTGTATTGTGGAGAATCTGCATCATCCTTAAAGTTATTTAGATATAGGTTTAATATAGTGAAAGTAGAACTCCTGTTGCTTAATAAATCCAAAAGATCAAAACCAATTTTGAAAACGTGCTATAATGTCCTGATCTTTTCTGTCTGCTGTGAACAGAAGAACAGTCCTCTAACTTTCATAAAAATTCAAAGTCTAGTAAACCTATGTAAAATACATGACTATGATTAGATGAGTTTGTTTATTATAAGACAATAGGCTAGCCCACCTTACTTCTGAAAAAGTATCCGCAGATCCCTAGTACTTAAAATGCTTCCTATCTTCAAGCCTATAGAGATTTCTGAGTCTTTCATTTTAAAATATAATCTGCTTTCAATAAATTAGTGGGCATCTTGAGTTAAATATAGATTTGTCTGTATATACAGTAGCTCATATTCGTAAGAGTTTATAGGGCAACATTTTACACTCATCAGTTCTATTAGATTTGCTACTTTGAAGCACAGAGAAATTACAAGAATTCTTAAGGAGTTCTCTTAGAAAGATATTTTTGAAGTACAACACAGTGATAATGCAGATCAGTGAAAATGTAATATTGAATTTTTTCCCTTATATCCTTGAAATTGTCTTCTTGTGCTTGGTTTATAAATATTAAGCATCGCTTATGTACTTTCTCAGACTGACAGAATCTTGGTGAACATTTATGTTTCAAGGTACTGAGTGGGAATGATCCACAAAGATTATCAATAAATAGTTGGATTATTGCATACTTATACCAAAGTTGTGAAACCAGACTTTTTTAGTTTGAGCGTGTGAACTGTTTCTGTTTCTGTTTTTGTTTCAAAACAAAACAGTATTTCTTAGTAACCCAAAATTCATTCCTGCAGTTACAGTTTGATATTGCTCTGACATATCAAGATATGATCAGATTTGCCTGTCAAAAAAAAAAAAAAAAAAGCTTTCAATTTGAAAACCTTCAGTCTCTGTGGTGATGCAAAAAAACCTCTGTGCAACTGACAGCAGTCTAGTGACAGTAATAACTGATCCATGTCTCAACAGATAAATATTTAATTTCAGCTTTTCTCTACTTATTTTTAAAAATATTTTGCTAAACTTATATTCAATATGAATGTAACTTTAATGTAACTTTCTGTGTAAAATAGTGCATTGGAGACATCTGCTGGAAATATTCAATATTGCATGATGGTAATATTTGATGCCTATGGTTGTTTAAAATGATCAAAATTAACAAATTTAATTTTTAGCATGATATTGCAATCAGAAATGCAACTCTAATATTCCTATGTTATTATTTTTAAATTTGAAATGCTACCAGACTTATAGTACTGATGTTATCGCCCTGTCTGCTGAGGTAGACAGTGCCTTACTATAGTAACTGCTGTAAATCTTTTCTTTTAAGAGAAAGTTGATTTTTCAGTAGCAGGAAAGATTGTGATAAGATGGAAGTTAAAGAATTTAAGAATTCCAATGGAATTAATCCATTATTATGGTTCCATATCATATAACAACAAAGAAATAAATGTTGGTATAGAAATGAATAAAAAGTTACAAGAGGAGTAGCAGCAGAATTTGGTTTTGTTTCCTCAACAGTAAAGTTAAGGTGAAATACAGAACATAATGTCAGCAGGGTGCTCTTTGCATGTAGACTGTCAGTAATCCTCTAATAATGAAATCTTGGGCAAAAGTGACCTTTCCTCTTACTCAGCTGCTCAGCAGCAAAAATACAGTAGATTTATTTGGTGGGATATTTTCCCTTTGACAGGCTTTTTCCTAAGTGCTATATGTGAATGCAAAAGATGAAGGTAAAAAGTGCAGCTAATGGTTTCTTACTCCTGTAATGAATTTAATGGTAACTTTTCATGTTTTCTGCATCAAGAGAGTTAGGAATCTCAAACCTATCTGCGTTGTTTTCTCTTGCAAATCTACTGTGCCTGAATCTAATACCTACAGTGGTTAGATTTCAGATTCCGTCAGGACTTCAGGCATTATTTTTCTTTTGGAATTATGCATCACCAACATAGCTGTCTTTTCCAATATGAGGTCCCAGTCATTTTTTTTTGTGCCCTTGCTGTCATGGCCATAACATCATCATGAAGGAACGGGACTCACATCTCTCTTTTACTTAGCAGTTGAATCTACAATGCCCAGTCTTCAAGAAGAAAGCTTTTGAACAGTTGGTAACAGTATAACCATCCTCCAGTCTTTTCAGGTGAGGCTGAAAATGAAGAAATGCTGAAGTTTGAAGAAAAGTATGTCTGGTGGACTAGGCATTTTACCATGTACTCCATGTACTCACAGTACAGTGAAAGGATTATTTCCCTTCTGTAGTTAGCCATGTCCTTTCTTCATAAAAGGATACTAGGATCATTTTCTTTTTCACTTGAAGGTGAGAGTGATCCCAGTGATTAGATTATTCACCCTTTGTTCTCGCAGGGCATTCTGCAAGTATCAGATGTGCACTGGAAAGGGAGGTGGACGAAATATAAACAAGACAGTAAGTAATGTTTTAGATATTAATATTAGGAAATGGCTCTAGGAGCAGGGCTTGGAGTTCACAATTCCTTCTGTTTCAACCACTGGGTAATGAGTAAGAGTGTAGGTTATAGAGTCACAAGTACTGTTGTCTGCTCTTTTTGTTGTTGTTTTTGAGCTTTTCTTCTTTGTAACCATAATCTCATTTGGAGAAAAGGAATCCAATTAAACCATGAGCAAGCTGGCTTAGGTGGATGGCAAATCTCTCAACATTACAAGAAAACATGCTTCTAGTCAGAAGAAAACCTTTGGCCATCTGAAAAGTTTCAGTGCTAAAGACAGAATCTTAGCAAGTGCAAGTCTAGTAGGACTGAGTAAGCAGCTTAAACTGAAATTTTGAGGCTCCTCATTTCAGATGAGGCTCTTGAATTCCTCCTCAAATTTAGATCCTGCAAACTGCTTCATTTTTGTTGATGTTTTATTTACATGATACTGTCATTTGAATCATCTGACGGGCACTCTGCTGTTGTCTCTAGAAAGAAGAATAGTGCAAGAACACTGGCATTAATTTGCAGTAAATGATTGTGATCCAAATTCAACAAAAATACAAATGCACAGTTGGAGTCCTATATATACTGGAATGCTTCGCAGACTTTGATCTCTCTTTGTAATTAAACTCTATTATATGTCTTTAATCCATGGTAATAAATAATATTTTGCATTTAGGTAGAATTTTGGTTGAGACATCAAAGCTCATAACAAAATCAAATGATCACTGACTTTAATGTCTTTCTTCAAAAATAATTTTATCCTTTGGTGCAAATAACCTTCCAAAGGCCTCCTGGGAAAGCAACATCTTAATGAGTTGTTATATATGGTTCTCCTCCTGGCCAATTCCTTTTTTTCTAACTGGCAACTTTCTATTTTCTTTTTCTAAACCATAGTATTTTTTTTCTGTATTAATAAAAAGTTACAAAATTATTCTAAATCACCAAAGGAAAAAGGAAGGAATCAGAGGGATAGCCCTGGTATAAGGGCTGGTTTATGTTCAGCTCTTTCTCCAAAAACAAATTTTGGAGTAACTCATGCTATGTATCATCTTAGATAGCCCTAGTGCAGCTTTACATCCTTTCTACAGAAAGAATGTTGAAATACTTGCAGTTCTTGAAAACTACATACAAAAAATAAATTTTAAATTTTTCTTTTCTTAGCTAGTTTTTTTCACATCACTTTTTTTGTTACTTTTGTAAAAAGAAATA